GCGGCTGTGGGCATCGTGACATGATGTGTGGGCGGGGGTGCAGGTCGGTGAGCGAAGCGGGCGCCACTTGCGGCCGCAGGAGGCCCCCAGCAGCCGGTGTGGAGTGGCGGGGCGAGCGGGGGGACCGTGATGTGATGCGTAAGTGCGGGTGGGTGACTTGGTGGCGCCACTGGCACGAATGTCACTGCTGGTGGCGGGAGGGGGGCGCCAGGAGGAGGCGTCTCGCCATGCTGCGGTCTTGTTCGCGTCTCTTCGACCTCACCGTCGCCATCGTTACACACCCCCGCACTCTCATGGTCGTCCTCTCGGCTCAACTCGGACCAGCTGTCGTCTGGAATGAAATTCGGCAGCTCTGTCGACAGAAAACGGCGAAGGGCGGATCGCACCTGCATCAATCAATCCATGCATTCACAGAGACAATCAGACAATGAGAGAGGGAGGGGCGGCCGTGGGCCCCTGTGGTGGCGTCGCGAGGACGCCTCACGGCATCGGCATTAGCACGCTCGATGATCTCCACAAGACGCCAGTGCACGCGGATCTCCTTGCAACGCTGCAGCAGGGACCTGGTCGCACACCACACATCTCGGCCCATGTCTAACGCACGCGGACCCTGCACACACACACACACACACACACAGACAGAGAGAAGACACACACACGCACACAGACAGAGAGACATCCAAAGACACATCCACACACACGAACAGTCACGCGTCTTTCTCTTCCTGTCTGGCTGGCTGTCTGGCGTCGGTCGATTTTGTGAGTTAGTGCGCGAATGGGTACGTACGTCATCGAGTGGTCCTTCCTGAGCCGGTCGAGGTCGATGAGCACCGCCTCGCAGCCGCCGCCAACCGACTCACGCAAACCAACATTCGCCGCCTGTCGACAAACAAATACATACATGAGACATGGGTGGATGACGGGATGGGTGGGTGCACTTGACGCGACGCACGTACACGGATGTCGCCATGCACCAGTCGGTGGAGTTGTAGCTCTTGAATGGCCGCAAAGAGACCGTCAGCGACAGTCCCGACGGTGCGCGTGGCCTCCAGTGTGGACACCGCCGACAGGTCCAGGTCAATCAGAACTCCTGCAGACACCGACAGACAGACAGACAGACAGAGAAGAGAGAGAAAGAGAGAGAGAGAGATGGTCATGAGTGACTCATCCATCCATCCATCCATACATCTGTCTGTCTGTCTGTCTGATGCAGGCTGCTCCCTGCTTACGTACCTTCGATCCATTCCATCTTGTAGGCCGTCAGGCGCTCGCCGTGGGAACCGCGATGTGATAGACCTCTTCGACGCTGACCACGTTGGCGCACCGCGGCTTTAAGTTACCGCGCCGCCGCCGGCACAATGTCAGCCATAGGTCGTTGCCGGTCCGCAAGTACTCGCCATCCTGTGTGTCGACATGCCGACACGTGCAACCAACACAAGAACACACAAGAACCAATCGGTGCGCACCCACCACACCATCTCTCGCCACACCCACCCACCCAATCACTCACGCACCTGTGCGCCCGAGTCGTGCTACTCACGCAGAATCTTCACAGCCCAGCGGCGTCCCCCTCCGTCGCGTATCGCCACGACCACACCAAAGCGGCCGAAACGCGCCCCCGCGCTGCCGTCCAGCGACAGGCCGGCCTCCCTCTCCAACCAATCCTACAGACAGACAGACAGACAGAGCAGATGTTTGTGTTCAGGACGGCGACGTCCAGAGGTGTCTTGCTCGGCTCTCTTTGACTGGCTGAAGCACTCACCACTGTAACATTCGCCCTCTTCAGCTCCGCGGAAATCCAATCTGATTCAGGGGCTCTCCTCTCTGCCTGCACGACGCACACGGACACACAGACACAGTCGCACGCACACGCACACGCAGACACACACAAAAGGATGGACAGACGGATCAATAGATGGACGTGGCCGTCTGTCCCTGCCCTCTGTATCTGTCTCTCTATCCCACTGGTGTCTATCTATCTATCTATCCATTTACCTATCTGCGTCTTTACCCGCCAGTCGCTCCTCAGCAGGAGGGAGGGAGGCAGGGAGGGCAGAAAAAGACAGCGCTTGCATGTCCTGGATGGATGGATGGATAGATCGGTGTATTCGACTGGCGACTAGGAAGGCCAGATAAGGAAATACCTATACGTGTCGGTATCCGGCCGGCCGAGACCACACCACCTGCAGGCCTACGCTGCATCGTACTCAGCCTGGCAAAAAGGGCAGCGGGGAGCCCTCTGGTGCTCCTGGGCGTCCTGCAGGACGTGGGCCAAGCACTCATCGCACAACGCCCGTTGGTGCGGCTCACAGCCTGAACGATAGGAAACAGCAAAGAAACATCCCCACACCACCATCCCATTTGTCCCCTGTCGGTGGCCTACGGCACGGCGCCTCTCTTGGGTTTGCAAAGCAGACGGGGCACAGCTCTTCGAGCTCCCTCTCCCGCTCCTCGTGCTCATCGAGGCCCGTACTGGCTCTCACCACCAGCTGCATCAGGCGGGCTTGCTCCTCCTGGCATCGAACGATGAGGGCTTGCCTCTCCGGGGTGGTGAGTGTGCCCACGTGGTCGCATTCGATGCGACGGGCCTCCTCCGCCTGCAGCCTCTCGCGGGTCTCCTGCCCCTCTCTCGACGCACAATGTCGACATCCCTGAACCAGAGGTAAAACATAGGGACGCAGACCCTGTGCATCGCATCCATTTGAGTGCGGATGCAGGGTTCGCACCTTCTCTAGACGTCCCTCTCTTGGCGTGTGAGGTTGAGGTCCCGTCGAAGCCGCTCAATCTCCGTCTGAAAGACATAAATAATGATAACTTGCATCCACGTATTCCACGACTCTGTCGAAGTACCAGTGGTCGGCCTCTGGCGTCCACCCATGGGATGCCTGCCGGATGGACGTTTTGGGGCACGTTGACGGGCAAGGGTCTGTCCCGTCAGCGGCGGCGCTGTCCAGAAGAAGGGGAGGCGGCGGGAGGATGACGGACTTCTACTTACGAGACTGTCTCCCATATGGTAAATTCTCGCCGGGGCTTCCCGGCGCGCGATAGCAGATTACACATATGTATGTACACACAAGGTCTTCTGCCGTCAATATATGAACCGCTCCCTGTCACACACCCACTATGTACAGCCTGGCACCCCTTCCCTCCCGGCATCACTTGCACTCAACACGCCATCAACGTAAGACCGCCGCGCAAGTACCGCCCATCTGATCTACCGTCTTTGTCTACTGATATCACCTCATGGTGTGGTGTGGCTGTGTGGCTGACATACATTGATTCACGAATCGGATGGTGAGAAGGGCGAGTCCTGGATGGTCTCCTCTCGCGAAGGTGAGGGGCTCATGGTGGTGCGTCCCTTGGCCGGCCGCTCAGCACGCATCTTCGCCCTCGTCTCGACCGCACTCAACCACGCCGTACGGAAGCCAAACTGCCTGAGCGCAAAGTTGCGTGTGCAGCCTGAATGAACAAAGACACGGCAGCCATGGGATTGGTTTTGGTGTGTGTGGGGCTGTGGCCAGCCGTGTGTGTTATACGGCCGGTCTGTGTGCGTACCGAAGCTACCGGATATGTTTGTATTCGCCCGCACCTGGCATGTCCAGCTGTTCTTCCTATGGTTGAAGTGCACGTCACTGATCTGCACACACGACAGAGATGAAGACAGCACACAGCGGTTCATCGTGGTGTCGTACACTCAGCGTTCGTCCCTCCAAAAGCTCCCCGATTGGCTCACCTTTGGCATGCTGAGCGATGCCCTGAGAACCGAAAAGTGGTCGTCAACATCTAAGTCGTCTGACACAGACTGCGCAGCCTTCTCGATATCCTGCAGGGTGCGGTAGGTGCATGGATAAACGAACGCATGACATGATGCTGACTGAATCCATCCATCTGCCTGTGCGCTGTGGGAGGATATATGGATGACTGGGGGTGGGGTGGCAGTACGTACCTCCTGTGTAGGGTTTGTGAGTATGGTCTGCTGTGAGGCGAGGTAGGCGAGCTGGTATGCGCCGATGGATCCGTGCACGGCACAGCTGTACCGCTTCTCCTGCAGGCGATTCATCAGATCAGTTACTACCACGCTCCAGCAGTCCGAACCGTCGCTGAAACCACCTGCAAGCAGCAGAGCAGAGCAGATGGATGAATGGATGCCCGACACACACCACACAGGTAGATAGATACACGTGGGATGTGGATCATTCATGCGATCTGTGCGTGCGTGGGTGGCTGAATTCGCACCTGGGTCGTACGCTGGGCTGGCGTCGAGTGACGGCGTCTTGGAATTCCTCGTGCACTTACGAATCGTCGCAGTCTCAACACTGCAAACAACACACACACACACACACACGCAGACAGACCAGTGTGGCTCGAGTGTCACGTCCTGTCCTGTGTATCATCAGCGTACCCGGACGACGATGCCGCCACCCGCGAGATGACGTACCCAAGATCTTCCTCGTCTACGCCCTTGCCTCCCCTCCTGGCGGGCGGCCGGTAGTCATGCCTCTCGCCAGCAGGGCCTGACCCCTCATCGGCATCGTCCTCCTCCTCTACTCGTCCGCCCTCGTTGGCCGCATTGGTTTCCATCAGCTCATGCCGCAGCAACTCATCCGACGGATCCAATACTGAATGGGCGTCCATCCCCGACTCGTTCTATACTAAGATATCGACAGCCAACGAGGATTCAAGGGGGAACCGCTGGACATCTCACTTGCACCTGCCGTCCTGCGCACCACGCCCGCCTGAGGGGGGAGCTACCGTACTCATTCCCATCGCCGTTGCGTCTGAGCTTGCGTTTGAGCTCGCTTCTCTCCGAGTGAATCCGCACAGGTTGGGCTTGTTGTGGCGCTACGGCGTCGCAGCAGGGTTGAAGGACGACTTGCAGCGACCATACCAGCTGCTATTACAACTTTCCCGCAATATCCGCCTACTCCCAAGCTGCAGGTGAGGAGGGCCAGTCACTGCTCACGGCAAGCCGGCGCATGGGGATGTGGGATGAGCAGCAGCAGTGCTGTGCTGTGTGGTGGCATGCGTGTGAACCAGGTCGAGCTGTGAAGGCGGTGGGCTGTCTGTCTCCCCACCACGATCAGATCCCCCGGGCCTACGACTTTGATAGGTGTATGCTTGTGCCTGTGAGAGTGTGGAGGCATGCTGTCTCTGCAACGCCTGCCATCCTCCCAGTCCAGGTACACGGCAAGACACCTCACTGGCTTGTGTGTGTGACCGGTGTGTGTGTGTTTGTATGGTTGCATCATTCCTACAGTGAGGAGAGCTTCTTGCTGTCGCGCGGTGAGCTGCCGGATGCCGAACCGCCCACGCCCCTCATACCGGGCTTCTCATCACTCAACCCGAGACGGCTCACCAAGTGCGATGAAACAGACAAGGCCGTGTGCCACCACCGTCTCACACGCCCCTCGTCGCTGTGTGTATTCCCATTGCAGCATCCGTCTGGAGCACCCGAGTGCGTCGTCTCTGTACCAGCGTCGTATGGCCCTGCTGGCCTGCAACGCCAACACCGGGGCCAAGGGCATGTCCATGGTGGATCCCGAGGGGCTATCCATCCCAGGGCTCCTCACCAAGGGGGAGCGGTCGATGAGCGCCTCCACGGCTATCACATCCACGGCCTCGTCGGGCGGCTCTCCCTCGTGCAAGGCCGCCACGGGTGCTCAGGCGGAGCCCCCCATGACGCTGCTCATGGCAGCCAACGGGGGTGTGGCGGACGACCCATCGGCCGGTGCATAAGACAAGACGCGCGCGGCATCAGGGAGGGCGCCGTGTGGTGCGGGGATGGATGGATGGATGGATGCTGGACCGCAACACATTGGATATTACTGTTAGGATAGCATACGATGGATGATAGCTGAATGTTTCTTTTGCTAGCGGGTGACCAGCCAGCGAGCCAGCCAGCCAGCCAGCCAGCCTGCTGCATGCCTCCCTTCCTCCCGACACATAAAAATGACCGTGCTTACTGTCTCAGTCTGTCCGCCAGTATGTCTGATGCGTGTGTGTTGTGATGTGATGTGATGGCATGTGGCGTATTGTGTGGTCTGCGTGGCGTGTATCCAAGCGAAAAGCGAAAACAGCTGTTCGTGTCAATTCAAGTGGCATGGATGCGCTCTGTAATATGCATGCATGCTTGAGCTCCTGTGTGACTGTATGCTGTGTGCATGGGCTGGCTGACTGACTGACGGACTGATCGACCGATCGAGAAGTGTTCGTCTGGTGCTGCTGCTGCTGTGGGTGATGTGTGTGTGGCGTGTGTGTCCGTCCGCTGTGCATTCGTGTGTGTGGAGAGTGTTGTGTGCGCAATGTAATGTGTGGGCTGCAGTATAATGTAAGGTAGAGGAATGCATCCATCTTTTGTCCGTCCGTCCGTGTGTGTCTGGTCGGCCTGTGCATCCATCGTATGAGTGCATGGGCTGACCCACGGCTGACTGTCTGCTGGCACCACATACATACATACACACATACATACATACAGTGTGTGTCTGCCCGTCGATCGATGTTTGACTGACTGACTGGCTCGACTGACTGCACATGTGCCATGCGTGGTGGCACTGACTGAATCTGGTGGATGTGTTTGACCTTCCGTCCCTACCTCCGTCTCGTGTGTGCGTGCGTGTGTGTGTGTGTGTGGTCTGGCTGCCCGACAGACTGGCTGTGGATGGATGTGCGTATGTGTGATTGATCGATTAGGTAGGTACATGGGTAGGTGGATAGCTACAGTGGTTTATAACGTCACTTAGTTGTGGGCTGGGCTGGCTGGACAGCTGGGTGGCTGCCTCCATGGATGGCTGGCTGGTTGGGTGGATTGCGTGTTTGTCTGTTATGTCTGCCTTCCTTGTACGTGCATTGGTTGCATTACGTATGTACGTATGTATCGATGTATGTATGTATGTAGATCGATTGGATGTGTTTTTTACGGAAAGAGAAGAGCGAACCACCACCAACCAATCAGGACGAGGCGATGGCCACTCACTCACCCTCACTCAGTTGCACTGGTGACTAACTCACTTACTACTGACTCCCGGTGCATTCATTCATCCACAAACCATGGCTGTGCGCGAGCACATGTGTGTATGTGTGTATGTGTATATGGGCTGGACGCACTGGGACAGAGGGATGTACACAGACATTCACTAACTGACTGACTGACTGATTCCATGTACACAGATCGCTCACTGAACGGTGGGGGACACAAGCTCATGAATAATATCGACTGCCTCGCGTCAACGTCAGGGACCATGTAAAAGTACACGATGGTAAGTGGCAGGGATGTACGTGTGCAAGTGTGGCATGCCGGCACCTGCTGCGTTTCTGATGACCCTGTGAGCGGTCACCAGAAACACAGTCGGTGACCACACGTGACACTTTGCACACGTGCATAGCTGCCCTTCACCGCCTTCCAGACGCTGTCGACCGACACTTGCAGGAAGGCCGAGAGACAGACAGACAGACAGACAGAGACAAACAGACAGGTAGGCAACCTGACTGACCCGATCGCTTGACGACTGACTGACGCCACTGATTGAATCACTGCACTCGCTCTCTCACTCACTTGTAGTCAAGGCAGACTGCAGACGACCTGATTGATTGATTGACTGACTAACAAGGGAGCTTCACTGACTGACCACTTGAACGAACATGTATTTGTTTGTGTGTGCCAGGGTGTCTTTTTTCGGGATGACCCACACATATTGTGAAGTGGACAGACCCACCGGTACTTCTATTATGTGTGTGTCCCCTTGTTCTTTTTGCCACTCGATGATGCCACTCCACTCCACTCACTCACTCACTCACTGTATGGCGGGATGGCCACGTGCGTGCGGCTCCTCACCTTCCCCTGATTTTTCTTGCATGCCTGTGTGTATGCATGCACAGGGAGGGAGAACGAGAGGGTGGGAGAGGGGGGGGCGGTGCGGTGTGCATGAATCGATGAGTCAACACTTTAGTGACCTGCACGCACAGCGATATGCATGGATGATGACCACACACACACAGATGGATGGAGATGCACAGGTGGTGTTCGTTCGTGTTGGTGTCATACCTGTCGATCGCGACACTCACATTCTCGGCCTGATGGTGGACTAGTGTGTACGTTGTTTTGGTACGTCATGTATTACCGTCGGTTGGTTGGTTTCTTGTTATGTTATGTTAGCTAGTGTGTAGTTGGGTGGGGTGGGCGGGGGATGAGTGGATGGATGGATGGATGGATGCATGGCGGCAGAAAGGACAGCTACGTCACCGTCACCCACATGTCCACACAGCGATGCGATGTGCCTGTCTGCATTTTTTTCTTTATTCTGACTCATGCGGTCTGTCTGTGTTCGTGTGTCACTGGACAGATGCACGCACAGACACGGACACCGAGGCAGCGAGGCAGACAGGCGGCTGCATGGCGAGGGGGAGGGAGGGAAGGAGAGAGATAGATAGATGAGACAGATAGACGGACAGGCATGCCTCTGATTGGTCTGAGCAGTGCAGAGCCCAGCGGTGTTTTACGTTGGGCGCTGCGCATTCATGCCTGCAACAGCCATGCATCCAGACAGACACAACAAGACACAAAGGCACTTGGGAGTGCATCGTGGCCAGGAATCTGCGAGCTCAAAATTCCATCTCAAAAGAATTCTGATGCATCTGGTGTTGCGCCTATTATCTGTCGCATCGCTTTCATCGCATCGCCTTCCAGTGAGTGCCTTCCGCCTCTACTCATCGCCGCTGACCATGAGTGCTGCAGCAGCAAATGCGGAGCAAGGCAAGATCTACCTCATCACAGGAAGCACCGACGGCATCGGCAGACACACAGCACACAGGCTGGCCGCCGCAAACAAAGACAATACGGTCATCATACATGGTAATGCCCTTCTTACATTAACCGTGTTGGTGATTGGTGTCGGTGTGTGCTTGGCTGATAGGCAGAAGCCCCGAGCGTCTGGAGGCTGCCAAGGCCGAGCTCGTGAGGGCCACCAAGAACATCAACATCTTCGCCTATCTCGCTGGTGGGTGCTCCGTGCAACTCGTGTGCAGCTGACACACCTGCCTTGTCTGTGTGCTGTGTGCGTGGTGTCAGATCTGTCTGTGATGCGTAACGTGGAGGCACTTGCGAGTGAGATCAAGAAGCATCATCCACGCATAGACGTGCTCATCAACAGTGAGTCGGGCGGGCAGCGCAGACCACCTTTCCCTTGGGTGTTCGCCTGTCGCCTGTTTATGCGTCTGTGTAGATGCCGGGGTGTTCGAGGAAAGGAGGCAAGAAACGCCTGACGCAATGGAATTGGTACACTCACTCACAGCACAGCAGCACGGCACTCGTGAATGCATTCGTGAACATGAGCGGGGATGGATAGATGAATGTACCAGACAGACCTTTGCAGTGAACGTGGCTGCCCCGTACGTGTTGACACGCCATCTGCTCGACTGCATCCCCGATAACACCGGCCGCATCATCATCACATCATCAATATCGCAGGGCAGCAGAATCGACCTCAATAACCTCCAACTCAACACAGGTCAGTCGGCAGACATGCAGGCGGGCAGGCAGTCAGGCACACCCACCACCCACCCACCCTGGAGCCTTGATGCATGTACCCCTGTATGTATGCGTGTGTGGGTTAGGTTACTCAGACCACGCCGCCTATTCGTTGTCGAAGCTGTGTGACGTGCTGCTGACGGTGGAGATAGCCGACCGCCTCAAGTCAAGAGGCATCGTGTGCCACACACAGGACCCCGGCACTGTGGTGAGGCGTATGACAGTGTGCGTACAGGCCTCCCCGCATTGACGCATGTGTGGATTTATTGCCTGCTTCCAGAACACCAAAATGTTGCTGGCTGGATGGGGCCCTTGTGGTAAGCAAAGATAGCAGCAACCAACAGCTCTTTCTGTGCCGTATGTTGACTGGCGTGTGCGTGTAGGCATCGACGTGTCTGTGGCCGACAACACCTTCTGGCTGGCAACCAGCAACGACCCCCACGTAAGCATCCTATATATAGACCCGCCCGCGGCGATTGATGAATCCGTAAACTCAGTGCTCGTCGCCCGCCAAGTCTGGTTGGTTGGTTGGTTGAATCGACTCAGGTCGTCAAGGAGACGGGCAACTATTTCGTGAGTCGACGCCTTAGCACGCCTTCAGGGCCTGCGTAAGCCTTTCACCCGACCCACATTTGTACACAGATGTATGTGAGCAGCTTGACGGCTGCGTACGATGCCGTGTGTGCGTGCATGCATGCGCCTGTTCAGTGGGGACGGGTCGGTGCGCGCGGCCTTTTGGGCGCAGATGGAGCAGCTGACTGGCGTTAAGTATCCTTAGCGATGATGTCCTGCACAACGATCGATTAGGGGGTGCCACTGAAGGGGGTGTTGGCCTGTTGTTCTGTCGTGAGTGGGGCAGTATGTTGGATGCTTTGCTTGGTTGACACCTTTATGTTATACACGCAGTCAGTCAGGGCAGGTTGGCTTTTTCAACGTCCCGCTGAGCTTATTCAGTTGCTTCGTGAAAGCTCAAGACCAGTCGCTGAGAAAAAGATCTTCCAGGCCAAACTGGCCAGGCTAGGCGATCGTCGCGGAAGCGAGCTGGGGTCGTGAGAAAAGGGAGAAAGCTTTGCTCTGTTGTTGGAACCAAACTATCGTCGTCGTGTCGGTTGTCGAAAGCGGACGGGTTCCAGCTGGGCGAGCAATTTGCGTGCACCGTCCGTCAGTCATGGTTCGGAAGGTGAGTATGCACCGCTGCAGTCAGTGCGTGAGGGAGGAATGCATAGTGAATGCATGGCATTGCACATACTGACGAACGGGAATGCAGAAAGGAACGCACAACCATGGATGCAGTCCTCAAGGCGTTTTATTCCTCGACAGTGCAATGTTGCGTCAGACTCCTGGGGGATTCACACTCTATGGATTCTGTTTGGTTTGTGTGGCGATTGTTGCATCAGGGGCGCGAAAAGGGCTGTGACGCGCCTGTCCGCACCAAGAAGACCACCACCAAAAACAAATGGGCCGGCCAGAAGGTGCGCACGCCGCTTCAGGTTCCTCATGTCTGCAGATGCATTCAGATGCATGCATGGTGCAATTGCTGGCTGGTGTACATGCATGTAATTAATGCAGGTGGTCAAGAGCAGCTCTGCCGCCGCCAGACGCAGGACCACAGCAGGGCCAAGTGTGGGTGGCAGTGCGGGGCAGAGCAAGGCAGCGGGCAAGTCTGTCCGTCCACAGCTCACGGAGGAGGACCTCAAGAACCCAAAGATACAGCAAATGCTCTGCAACGCCCAAAACGAGGTCAGCTAGCGGGGAGCCGGAGAAATAGAAGGGCAGAGAGACGAGAATGCATTGAACTGGTGTTCGTCGGTTGCCTGGTGTGGCCTTGTTTGTGTGGCAATCAATCTCTGTCTGTATCCATGCAGGAGTTGTTTCGCATCCCCGCAGACTGGACCCGCTACGAGCCGGACGATCCGACGTGGGACGAGATCCGCGTCAGGATTGCTAAGCATCTGCTGGGGTGTGTGACGGGCCTCAACATGCGCCCTAGCACCGTCTTCTTCGCCATGCGTCTGTTCGACAGGTTCTGGTACAAAGGTACGGAGGGAGGGACCGAAGGGACGCAGTGAAGCCACTCATAGATACACGTGTGTGTGTGCGTGTACATGGTGTGCTGTCTGTCCGCTGTGTCTTGCTTGGTCTGCTCTGTTGTTCTGTGTACAGTGAGCGTTTTGCGCTGGGAAGATCTCAACTTCGGCATCAAACTGGCGAACACCAAGTACAGCGTCAAACTCATCAGCAACACATACCTGGTAGGTCGGTAGCTAGAGGAAGGAAAGGCCATTGCCTCGCTTGGCTGACACGCACTCATTCATCGTGTGTGCATGACATTCGCCGCACCCACCCCGCCACCCACCCAATGGTTGTGTTGTGTTGATTGGTCTGGCTGGCTGGCTGCACCGGATGGATGGAGTGCAGGTGGCCCACGGATGTCTGTGGCTGGGGGCCAAGTTGATGGAGGCCGAGGTGCAGGTGGCTGCCAAGCACATCAAGGTCCTCAACAAGGCTAACCCCAAGAAGTACACGGAGATGTGTTTGGAGAATATGGAGTGGTGCATCTTCGAGTGAGCGGAGGGAGCCACCACTGGAGACACGGAGGGAGGGAGGGAGAGGGGAATGAGACAGACAGATAGACAGACAGACAGAAAGTCGACTGATGTACATACACTGTCCACGGCCACCACCCCATTTCATCTTGTCTGTCTGTGTCTGTCTCGGCAGGGCCTTGGGCTTCAACTTGGCGACCGGCAACGAGTACACGTACGTTGAGGTCATGAGTGAGACGGCGGGGCTCGCTACCGGCTCCAAGGCTCTGGAGCTGGCCCACCGCATCACGGTAGGTAGGAAGACAGGAAGAATGAATGCGCAACAAGGAAGAATCGTGTGTCTCGTTTGTTTTAAGGAACTGGCCATGTTGTCCTTCACCTTCGTCAAGTACACGCCCCGCATCATCGCAGTACGTCGGCCCGCAGTCACACACACACACACACACACAGAGAGAGAGAGAGACAACTCACACACATGTGTTGCTCAAATGCCCCCAGGCGGCGGCCCTGTGTGTGGCCCGTCATCTCGAGTTGCACGCCAAGGGCGCTGAATGGGTGGGTGGGAGGGGCCAAATAGGCAGACAGACAAGACACTCCGATGCAACGACTAGACGACACAGTCTGGTTGTGGAGGCCCCTGTGTGGGTGTATGCATTTGTGGCCTTCAGACGGATGAGTTGGTGCATCTGACCCGCCTCACTGCGTCTGACATATCCAGCTGCGTGCAGGAGATGGCATCCTACCTCCCGGCGCACCTCGAAACACCAGACAACACGATAAAGATCGACATATGACGGTGTGGAAGCGACCATACTCGTTGCCCTCCTCAACCATGTGTGATTTCTTGATGTGTGCTTTCCTTCCTGTACAGGCATTCAAGATCGCTGACAGGGAGGGCTCGGTGGATCCATACATTGATGAGGGGTGGATGGATGTGACGGATAGATAGACAGACGCCCATAATGGTCGCGTGTTCATGCGTGCGTGGTTCAATGACAGTGACAATGCCAAGTGCGATGTGCATGAATGCGAGTGCTAATTACCCACCCCACCCACCCCACCCCATGCCCCTCCCACTCAGGATCGAGTCACTCACTCTTTCATCTACTGTCAATTGTCTGTCTGTCGGCCTACACGAGTGGGTGCACTAAGGGCACACAAGCGCATGCCATGCCTCTTCCACACTAAGACAACGCAGCGTCTTGTGCTCAAACAGGCTAGCTACGGCTGTCTATCTGCCAAGGCCCTGCCGCTTCATCTACTCGCTGCCTCGATCGATCCATCGATCACATGGCATAGGTCATTCCTGAATGAAACACATACACACACGCCACTTACATGCATGATACCCACCCAAGCCCCCATCAGGCCACATGTTTCATGTCTGTCTATCTGCTGCCCACCGGTGTAGTCAGTGACGACTGCGGGTGGGGGAGGGGGTGGGGGCGGCGGTGGGGGGGGAGGGGGCGGTGGTACGCCATTGTGCGGACCCTTTTCGCCCTCATTTGCGGCTGCTTCAGATGCCGTGGGCTCGCTCGTTTCGGGCGGGACTTGTGCCTCTGTACTGCTCTCTGGCGCTGTTGGCCCGGTTGGCTCGGGGGAGAGCTCCTGTGGCGGTGCTGGAGGGAGAAGGATGGACATGATCTCTGCCCGAAGGGTGGGGAAAGGAGGATGCCCAAGCAAGCCGAGCTGTAAATTCAGCCTGGGAGCTCCGGGAAAACGATGAGGGCTTTTTTGTTGCTGTTTGCTTTTGGGGGTGTGTTGACCATCGCCGATAGCGTGGCCGACAAGGCTGATGACGGCACGGTGCACGCCGATGCCCTCATCGCCCACCACAAAAACAAGAGTACCAAGCGCGTGGTGCTGCCGCCCCCGCCGTCCACGGACCACCTAGCGACGGCCAAGACCATCCGCATCATGGTTCTTTCCGACCTGCACCTACTCCAGTCAGCGCAGGAAGATGAACTAATGGCTGGATGAATGGCTGGATGGATGTTGCTGTCATTGTGTGTGTTGATGCAGCCCGGAGGATGCCTTTCCGAAGGACAGTTGGCAGATGAGATAAATCTGCACCTCCATGCGTCGTGTGCACATGCAATGTATTGTCCACTGTGTCTAAGCTGTCATGCAGGGCCACTATTGGGATAAGACGACCTTCGTAGGAGAGGAGCATGCCCGTGGCATGAAGGCCTACGACCGGACCATGGCGCACGTCGAGGACATGCTCCGAACCGCCAAGCCTGATGTACGCGCGCAGTGCATCCAATCCATGGACACACGCACTTCTCATCACGTTTCTTCTCTCTTTGCTCTGCGTGTGTCTTATGGCCGGGTGGGTGGGTGCAGATTGTCGTATTCGACGGTGTGTGCACAAACACGCTCGGGGCCGAAGACCAACCGACACTTGGCTGTGGTTGTGTCCGTGCATCTGCCTGCAGGTGACATCTGCGACGAAAGGCAAGCTCGGCGCTTCCTGCGGACATATGCACGGACACGGACGATTTGTGCATGGGCGTGTGTGTGGTGTGTGGTGTTTGTGGTGTCAGGGGTCGCACGGAGTGGAATCAGCTGATGGAGTGCTGGACGCAGCTCATCTCGTACGTCGAGAAATACGGAGTTCTCTGGACTTTCGTGCCAGGCACGCAAACCGCACACACGAACAGATGCGGGGAAGCGACACCAGTGCGTGCCCGCTTGTGCGCAGGCAACCACGAGAATGACGTGAAGGAGGAGTACTGGGAGCGATGCAAGCTGATCGAGATATACGCGGTGGGCGCCACGACATTAATGCCGCCCGCATCCATTTTTCCGCCCATGTGTGCATGTCTGTGCGTCTCTGCATGTAGGCGTACCCCAAGTACTGTTTGAGTGTCGGGCAGAAGTCGTTCAACCACGTGCTTAACATCGTCAAGGGCACCATACTCATGGCCATGTTCGACTCACACGGAGGTCCGTACCTTGACAACACACCACAGCACGCACCTCGCCAATCGCTGCATGGTATGTATGTGTGTGTGCAGACAAGCCGGCCAATAAGGACGGTTTGAAAGACGAGGTCGAACCCGCCGTCGTGGCTGCCGTACGCTGATAGACACACACACGGAAAGAACGACTAGTCTGTTGATGGCTAAATGGATGGATGGATGGATGCTCTTCTCTGTGTCTCCTTCCTTCCTTGCCTGCATTCAGTTCGATAAGTACATGGACGACCACTTCGACTGCACCAAGACAGAGAACGCCACCGCCCCAGGCAAACAGGTCGAAAAAGACGCACTCAGACTGGTAAGCACGCAATCAATCACTCACCTGGACGACACACACACGCTTGTGTGTGCGTATTATATGCAATGAAGGCGTTTCTGCACATTCCGCTGCGCCAGTTCCCGCCCACAGTCGAGAACAACGAGGCAAGGGAATCGCTGCCCGCCTGCACCGACACCCCTCTGCGTGTGTGTACACACATGTGTGGATGGCTGTGAGTGATATCAGGGCAAGTTGCTGAGTGGGATACTGAGCAAGGCCCGCAAGTTGAATGGCGTCGACACGGGGCTGTACGAGAAGCTCCAGAAACACCAATTCGACGGCGTATTCTGCGGAAATGACCACCAGTAAGTACAATGCGCACACACACGCAAACGTACCCATCTCGGTGGCCGTGTATGCACTGCAGTTCGGATGCTTGCATGGTGCGTGGCGACGAGAAGACTACCGCCAACATATGGCTCTGCTACAACCGAGTCGGCGCATTTACACCCCCGTCGGTCCGTCAGACACACACACACATAAACATCAATATACCAACACACATAAACATGTTTATGTCTGTGTATGTCTGTGTCTCTCGTGTGTGCGTGTGTGCCTGTAGGAGTGGGAGGGCAAGGTGCACCTGCCCTTCGCGGGCCGCTGACGGGGCTGCCGCGTCATAGACTACTTCCCGGCCACCCACCAGCTCGACACGTACGTCCTCACCACCGCCGGCATCGAACAGGACTCCATCATATCCAAGAAGATCTAACCTCACCTCACTCACGTCAAGATTCGACAAGGGCAAGTGGGTGCATGGAGGGCTGGTTCCTTTGTGGTGTACGGCGGACAGTGAGTGACACTACTGTTTCGTTTTGACAGAAACAAGATTCGCCCGTACGCGTGAATGTCACGAATTGCCGTCTGACCATGAATTACACGCACACGCACACATTCACGCAGTCCCGCAGTCACGGACTCACTCAGACACCAGACAGACAGCCAGATGGCAGCAGGGACAAGACACAGAAGCACACGTAGTCACTTCATCAAAACATGCACACGTAGATGTGCAGTGCATGTGAGTGAGAGAGCAAGCACCCCGCCACCCACCCACACCTTCCCACGCTCACACACCGCACCCACACCACAGGTGGCCAGGCCACCATCCATCCATCCATCCACTCGTTGGTGTGGATGAGTCATGGTGCGAGCCTCTTGGGGTCGCGGGGGAAGAGCGACGTCTTGCGGACGTTGTTCAAACCTGCACACATTACACACACACAACATGACAACAACCGTCACACGTGCGTGTCGATCAGCCGGGCTGGTTGTTCGAATGGCAGGATGGCTGTGTGTGTGTATGTGTGTGTGTGTGTGTGTTTTCCGACCGAGGAAGAGCATGACAACTCTCTCCAGGCCGACCCCGCAGCCTGCGTGTGGGTATGCCCCCAGCTTGAACGAGTCGATGTAGGACTTGATGGTGTCCACTTCCATGCCCCACGCACGGGCACGCTCAACCAGCAGATCTGCAGTCACCACACACACACATAGGTGTATGTCCAAGCGCGTGTGTGGAGGGGCTGGGCCGGTGGGCGTGCTGTCTGTCTCACTGACCAGGGCAGTGTATCCGCTGTGCGCCGCTGACGATCTCCTCTCCGCGCATGAAGAAGTCGTACGAATTGGAAAAGGTCTACACACACACAGGATAACAGCACGGCATTAATTCTGTGTGCATCAGATCAGAAGAAGGCCTAGCTACCAAGGTTCGTGTGCGGTGTGCATGGCCGGCCTACCTCGTCATTTGGGTCTGGCATCGAGTAGAAGGGCCGCACCTTCAGCGGATACCTACACGCAGTATACACGCACAGAGAGAGGGATGCACAGAACAGATGCACCCACCAGCCGGTCAGATGCGTGAAATGTGTGTGTGAGCTGACCTGACGAGCATGTAGAAGTCGGTGTTGTACTTGTCCTTGACCAGCTTGCCCAGAGCCTTCTCCTGAGTCGTGCTGATGGATGGATGGATGGATGGACATAGTGAGCCGTGTTGTCTGTCTGTCTGTCTGTGGTACCTGAGGTCGAATTCCGATATGTCGTCAGGGACCCCCTCGGTACCAGCCTCACGCAACATCCTCACACCCTGATCCATCACACCCACACGAACAGCCACGTCCACACGTGTCTGTCGGTCATCCCTCCCCCCCCTCCGCCTGCCTCTGTCCGCCCACTGACCTCCTGGAATTCAATTCTTGGGACCTTGGGGACGCCCTCGTCGCCCTCCTGTGGCTGGGGGATCTGGAATGGCGCGGCGGGGAACTGCTCGTGCACCACAGCTATCTCCTGCACACACACAACACGTGTGTGTACACCAACAAAGACACGGAGAGAGGGCGGGCCACACGTACGTTGGCGCATCGTTCGTTGAGCCCCTTGAAGATGTAGAGGAACATCTTCTCCAGCACATCCAACACCTGCAGCCATCCATGACACCACACACATCACATCACATCACATGAGAGGGGCCGGTGTCTGTCTGTCTGTGTGAGTGGGTGACCTCGTAGTAGTGGAAGTTGAAGGTCATTTCCATGTCGAGCCCCGTGAACTCACACAAGTGACGATACGTGAAGGAGTTCTCGGCGCGGAACACGGGACCTGCGGCCCATAGAGCAACACCACGCACACACACACACACACACACAGGTGCATGCATGTGTGGGTGTGTGTGGGTGGGTGTGCAAAAGGTACCCACCGATTTCGAAGACCCTGTTCATGTCGCCCGAGAGCACCATCTGCTTAAACAGCTGGGGGGACTGTGCCAAACACGCGGGCTCTGACACACACACACACACACACATACACCTCTTTGTATGCTGCACACGCGCACACGTGTGTCTGTGTGTGGGCTACTTACGGTTGAAGTACTGGAACCTGAAGCACTGAGCGCCGCCCTCGGAGGCGCCGCCGAGCATTTTGGGTGTGTGTATCTCGACAAAGTCCTCCTTGTATAGGTACTCGCGGAATAGCTGGCAAACCATAGACTCAATACGGAATATCGCCTGGTTGGCCCGCGTCTGCAGCGAACAGACACACACACACACGAGTGAACGGACAGAGAAATGAACCGCATAGTGTGTGGGCGTCTTCCTTTCGATTTCGTGCACACATACCCTGAGGTCGAGTATGCGGTTATCCAATCGGACATCCTGGTTGACATGCACCAACTCAGGATCCTCACACACACACACACACACACAGAGAGTGAGTGAGTCGTGGGCACACATCGGCTCATACAAACCGCTCTGCCGCCCTCACCTTTTCGAATTCGATTTCCGATCTGCTGGCGTCCTCGAGCTGGAAGGGCAGTATGGGAGCCGCCTTGCTCACACAAAACAGCTGCAGCACCTTGAGCTCAACCGAATGCTGTGTGGTGGACTTGACAGGCTCCTGCGGAACCGTCACCGCACCATACACATCCACAACAGACTCAGGGGTCAGGCTGATCGGTGCGGGTGGTGTCACACACACACAGACACACACGACAGACAGCCAGACAGATGGGATTGGCACCCCGTGTGTTGTGTGTTGTAGGTCGATAGGTTGCCTGCGTACCTGCCAGCCCATTTGATCATGTCCTTTGGAATCTCAGGGGCCTCGTCGCTTTCACACAGGACACCCTGGATGGTCCACAGCTGCTGCCGAAACACCATGAACGCCATCTTGTCTGCACAAATAAGCACACCACATACACACCACACGACAGATCTGCCAGCATATGCATGGGCGATTTGTGTGTCCAACCAACTAACTCACTGCTCTTTTTTCTGATGGTCTGCAGCCTGGCCCTGATCCACACACACTGCCCCTCGTTGGGCTTGTCGATATCCTTGACGGCACTCCACAGACGCTTGTCCAGGACGGTGCTCCTGATGACCGGCAGCAGGCCAAACTTGCCCTCCACGAAGATGTCGTCCGGCACGCTGCTGGCCGCATGAGCGGCCGCCTGCTGCTGCTCACGCTCGGCCTTCCTGGCCTCCTTGGCGGCCTTCTTATCGGCCTTCTTGGCACCCTTCTTGGACCCAGCACCGCCCTCCTCCTCTGTGTGCTCCTGGGGAGGAGGAGGGTCGCCCTGCTGATCGCCGCCGGCTGCGCCGTTGGATGCGCTGGCAGAGGATGACATCTTCTGTCGACTGAAGCAGCACCACCAACAGGGGGATGTGAGCCACGTGTTGGTGGTCTTGGTGAGGGCGAGGGTGAGGGAGGGGCGGTGACGCGATGACAGCGATGTGAGCAGCTGCGTGGGAGATCTCCGGTGGAGGTAGTTGGACGCGCACACCAGCAGCGTGAGGCTCTTCAGCATGCCATCGCTGCACTCTGCTGCACCTGCGAGCTTAGACGTGACGTTTTGTCGCAAGGGGCTTCCCCGCTGACCATGACACATCTGCACATGGCGGCTGGATAGGCAGGAACAGAGATCTTGCCAATCTGCACTGTGCACCTGATGCAAGTCAGCCTCTCTCTCCTCATCAGTCAGTCATTTGTCCGTCATGCGCACGCTCGGGCCCGGGCATGTGCCGGCTGTCGCTCTTCTCGTCGGGCACGTGCACGGCGTCCAATCCATGCATCACCCTCTCAAAGGCAATCAATTTTGGTGCCGCGCACACACAGACAGCCTCACTCACACAGATCGGTCCTAAAAATCACATGGAGAGGTATCCACAGCCTCATCGACCACACAGGGTATATGATGCAAGCAATGCACTGCACCAACAGGCCGGCCAGCCGGGCGAGTGCGGCCGTGCATGACAGACTCTATGCCCTTGATGTGGTGGCAGTGGGTATGTCGTCGAACTCCGAGTAGTCGAAGTCATCCTCGACGACACCCTGAATGAGGGCCGTCCCCGGTGCTGCTGGGGCTGGTGCTGCCTCAGTGCCCCTCTCCTTGAATGCGCTCTTGGGCGCGCCGCACTGGGGGCACTTGAAGCCCTCGCCGAAGAACTTGTCCTCTCGACCAGCTGAGGAACACGCACACAGAAGAGAGAGAGAGGAGCGGAAGGTTGTGTGTAGGTGTGTGTCATTTGGGGGAGGGGGAGACTGTGTGTTAATGTACCGGCTGGGAAGATTACATAGCCGCACTCGGTGCACTCGTAGCTCTTTACCTCACCTGACGGACACAGACGTATCTAGATTGATGGGCTGACTGCTTCACATGTGTGCGGGAGTGTGTGTGCGTGTGTGTGGCCCGTCCATCGATCCATCCATCCATCCATCCACACGTACCAACTTTGGCGAACTCGCCTGCCGACATGGATGCACCAGCAGCGGCAGCAGGGGCAGGCGTCTCCTCCTTTTGTTCCTCTGGCTCCACTTCTGCAGCCTCCTCGCCGACCTTCTCAAGACCCCCACCACCGCCAAGGCGGAGGGAAAAGGTCTCACCTGCACACAACACAACCACGCAGACAGACACACGCACACGCACACGCACAGGCTCACCCGTCCGTCATGTCTGTCTGCCCTCACTGTGTGGACACCCAGCCACGTATCGTATGCACACACCTACCCACCTCTGGCCAGTCGTGCGTTCATGCTGTCTCCCTCTGTGTCGACGGCGATCTTGGTGCCCCTCTCCACCGGGGCACGCAGCTCGGCCTGCAGACGATTCCATTCACTCTCTTGCTGCACACACCACACCACACACATCAAACACACACATACACATACACATGCAGGGGTGCATCCGTCAGTCATGCTTCATTGACTGACTGGCCCCTCGTCCCGCCTGACTGAGAGGAGATGGTGGCTGACCGTTTGTCTGACGAAGTAGTCCCTGACGACTTTAGCCATGCCGTGTAGGGCGTCGTCGGCACCCTCGACCCTCTCGCCCCTGTTGACCATATCCACCTGGTCCAACCCACGCTGATTGATCGACGTGAAGGTCGGCTCCCAGTCAACTGATACACACACGTACCCACACACACACATGGACACACACGCATCACCAAGTATGGCGTTGTGTGGGGGTGTGGTGTTGTGTGCAAGCAGGTACGTACGTTGTTTCTGCATCCATCCCTCCTTGTCGGCGCTGCTGGCCTGCTGCACCTCACGATCGAGCTGCTCCTTGGTCACACGGTCCTTGGAGCGAAGCTCCTTCTCCAGAAACGCATCCAACACACTGCAGACACACACACGTGAAATGAATGGGTGCATACAGGCATCAATCAATCGGTCGATCGTTCTTACGATTTCTTGGCGGCGTCCTCGAGTTCCTGTTGTTCGGTGTCCTTCATGGGCGGGTAGAACGGGGTGCTGGCGCCCTCCATGAAGGGGGCGTTCCACCCGATGCGGCCCATCTTGATGTCCTTGTCGCGTTGCACTATCTCCTTCTCGCGATCACTGTCGCCGGTGGCTCGACGCGCGTAGGTGCTCTACATGACACATGTAGATGCACACGAACAAGACAAGGCATTTGTTTGTGTGAGCCTGCATATCACAGGATGTGTGTGTTCTGGGTGTGGTGTGCGCATACGCACATCGTAGTCGAAGAGTCCCATGGCCTTTTGTCGCTTGACCTCCTTGATGTCGAAATCGATGTACTTCCTTGAGGTAGTAGGTGCAGCAGACAGACAGACAGACAGGTCAGTGTGCACAGGGATGAGTGGGTGCACTGCAGATGAGTCTCCTCGCTCCTTCACTGTTTACCTGTAGACCTTGTGGCAATCTTCTTGGCTTAGGTTGAGCACGTCAGCGCCTGAACAAGGCACACACACACACACACACACACATGGATGGATGGATGGATCCACAGCACAAGTATGCAGTGCAGTCATTCCGCACCAGGTGGTGGAGGGAGGTCGTAGAGTTTCTCGTAGTCGGCTATGATCTCCTCCGAATCAAACGAACCACGATTCACCAACGGCTGACCGACCAAATCACACACACACACACACACGCATGACCATTATGATGTACTGCCTGTCTTCTTGTACGGCCCGACTGACTGACCTTGACGAACTTTGCGATCTCTTCATTGTACAGATCGGCTGCACGTACGTACGTGGGCGGCCACACACAACATTGAGAAGACTGCAAGTGTTCATTCGATCTCTCGTGGGCGTTTGTTTCCCGTCGGTTCGTACCTCTCTTGTTCTGCAGGTGGAGCCTGAGGCCGCCCTCTGTCGTCTGGCCGATGGCACTCAACGCATAGCGGGGACGCAACAACTGCAGTCAGTGCACACACCACACCACACCACACATGCAGGCGGGCAGGGGCGTGCTCATGTCAGCTGTCTGTCCGTGTGAGTGTGTGTGGGTGACCTGCACTACCTGCTTGGCCTGTTCGTCTGTTCTGATGAAGAGCTCGGCGATTAGCAGGATGTTCTCCACTCGGTACTTCTCCATCTGGCCCTGGTCCATCACACGACGCAGCAACAAGGCCGCCTGGTCGATCCATCCACAATTGACAGCACCGACCCCAACAGACAGACAGACCGACACACGCAAGAAACAAAGAGAGATAAGCCGGTTGTGTTTGCCATGTGGTTCGTCTCTCTCGATGACTGACTGACTGACTGACTTCTTTTTCTGTGAGTTTGAAGAGGTCGAATGTGATGTAGGCCAGTCCGCGGAGTGTCTCGACCGACATGGTGACGGCCTCCTTGCCGCCCAGCGCCGCATCCATCAGGCGGGTGAAGAGCTGCCGCTTGTAGAAACGAAAAAACGGAATGCGGGACCTGTTTGATTGGGGTGAGAAAGAGGCAAGGGGAGGGAGGGAGAGAAGACACACGACAGCATCCATCCATCCATGGGACCACTGTGTGTCTGCTGTGCTGCGGTGCGGTGCATTGAGTTGTTCTTATGTGCTGACCGTGCCGCTTTGAAAGCTTCGTCGAGCATGGCTGTGTCGTGCAGAACTCGCAGGGTGCGGGTGACGTACAGCTGACAATACCACACAATATATGATGCGTCTGTCTGTCGGTCAATCAGTCAGTCTGTCTGTCTGTCTGCTCGTGTGTCATATGGTTTCTTCTCACCCTGCACTGCAGTAGCCTCGTCTCAGCGACCCAGTTGCGGATGACGTAGTAGCCGGCGATGCTGCCCGACACCAACAAACCAATAGGCACCACACGAGTCCAGAAGAAGGACGTCGTCGCAGCCTCACGCGCAGACCGACTGAGGGAGGACACACACAGTGTGAACGCCGATGTCTGTGTCTGTCTGTCTGTCTGTCTGTCTGTGTGGCTCCTGTCAGTGGCTTGACTTACGCAGGATCAACGGGTACGCCCCCTCCACCTCTGAATCCCCCCCGCCGCATCTGTGCAGTGATGAGCTGACGACCGGCAGAATGTCGACGGGAGGGGCGGGGGTGGCAGAGAGAGAACTGGTCAGTGCTGGAGAGGAGGGGTGAGAGATATGAGGAGGGGGAGGAGGAAGGCGGGAAACGCCAGAACGTTGATGGACCATGGGTCGATCTGCAGACAAGAACACAGCACGCACCTTGACGCACTGCCGCTTCGAGCACAGCACAAACAGCCGTGAGTGTCAGATGTGTACGTACCTTGCTGATGATGGGTTGAGAGGGCTAGATGCGAATGCCGGCGGCCTCCTCGCCCACGCCGGGCCAGTGGACGCTGGATGCAGCAGCAAAACACACCACGCCAGGCTCACACACTGCTGCCACCTCAATGGCCGCCGCCGTGACTTGAAGTCGCGGGGACTTCTGCGATGGACCATTGCTGCTTCTCTCGAGGGCGGCGGCTCATGGGATCTCTGCACCGGGATGGCTTCACTCTCCTTCTCCATCATGCGTGGCTGTCGCGTTGCGGACGGCATGAAGTGGCTCACGCCTCAGCCTTTCCGGTCCGTTGCCGTCATCAATAATGACTCATTCAGCCGCTTGCTTCACAGATCTTTTTTAAGCTCGCAGCTAAGCTCGCAGTCGGGGCATGTGGATCTGTGAATTTGACCAACGGAGGCACACGTGAAGCCGTGTAGAAGGCTCATCCGCGTGCAATCGTGCCGCGAGGGCGCTCGCATTCGGCGTTTCATATGATGCTCCCGGTGGAGAGGGTGAACCAGGCGATGTTGAGTGGCCTGCGATGGATGGCTGTGTGTGTGGGGTGCCTCCTGGCGGCTGAACTGATGATGGAAGCTGCCAAGCATCTTGGCGTGTTTGCCGCCACTCCTCCGCTGGTGCAGAAGAAACCTGTGCAGGTAGGGTCAGGGAGTGAGGTGTGGGAGAGAATAGAAAAGCACACAAGCATGCAGCACGAACACTCAGTCGGCCAGATGGATGGATGGGATGTTCTTCCTCTGTGTGATTGCAGGTGCTGGAGTGGGGTGGGTACGACACGCCGTCATGGCCGCGAGCAAAGCGGAAAATCAAACACCAGGTAATCAGCTGGTCTGCTGGACCAAACAGCAGGCCGCCACACATCAGGCAAGACGGTGCTCTCCCTCCTGCCATCCGCCCGTCCTTGATGTTTGCATGTGTGTCTACCGATGTATCATCCATCTGTCAGTTTGTAGCGGTGACTGACCCTACTGACCCTCTGGAGGGCTGCACATGGTACACCAGGCGGCGGCCCTCATTCCCCTCACTGTGGCGTGGCGGCAAGCCGCCATTCGTCATGCGGCTGGTGCAGCCTGATGTGGAAAGGGTGCTCAAGTGGCTGGCTGACAGGAGGGTGGTGCGGCTGTATCAGTGCGAGGACCCTGATGGGGGCGTCTTCTATCAGATCAAGAGGCGGAGTGCCATCAAGAGGATACTCAACAACCAGGTGTGACGGACGGACGGACGGACGCATGTGAATGGAGGGATGCATGTACGGCTCGATGAGTGGTGGGTGCTTGGCTGACTTAGAGAGGGCGTTGGTGAGTTGAGTGATGGATGCGATGCTAGTGGGTGTGTATCGGTAGCAACAGTGCTGATGAACCAGCTCGTGCAGTGAGGTATCAGCAGCTGTCATTCCCTCGTGGCTGGTATTCTACTGCTCCTGTTTCGGTCATCGGCGTTGTTGCTGTCCTTGTGGTGCGATGTATGCGCTATAGGACGGCACGAGAATGAAGCCTTTTTGCGGTGTGTTCCATGCGTTTGCGGACAGCACGCCATTCATGTCGGTGCGCGTTAGCCCGTTGGGGCCAGAGCTCCACCGATCTGGAAATTCTCCCCTGGCCCCGAGTAGAAGGCGCATACAACGCACACAATGCTTCCTGGTTCAGACACAGCAACCGAGCCCACTCCAGTGGATGACGCACTTGCTCCTCCACCCAACCGACGGCGGCCGCGAAGGAGAAGGGCGCGTGGCCGGCAGCGTGCCACGGCAGGTCAGATCTCGGAACCCTCCGAAGGCGTGCTCTCCAACCTGCAGACACTCACACGGATTGAGCTGGGCGTCGCCACATTCCTCCTTAGCTCACAGGCCTACGGTATGCATGGGGGATGGAAACCACACACACACATACATCGTATGTACACGAATGTGTGTTTGGTTGGCAGTGCTGGTTGTGGAGCAAAGGAGCGAATGTGACGTGCCTCTCTATTGGTGGCTCATGTAAGCAAACCTGCGGCGCGCTCCCATAGCCTGTCATCCGTGTTGGTTTGTGTGATGCAGGACAATGGCTGGTGAGCCCTCTGCTCGTGTGCCGCTTGTGTTGGCTCATTATGTGTCCTGGTGCAGGTTTGAATGCTATCAAGATCCCTCTACGTCTGCGCACGTGGGCGGTGGCAGGAATGGATGACAGAAAAGACATGTGACGTCTTCTCTGTGTGTGTGTGTCTCTCTCTCTCTGTGTGTGCTCAGGTTGATGATGATTCGTCAGAGCCAGGAACGGCTTCGGCTGAATCGTGGGAGGGAGGCATCGGCCCTGGTGCAGGTCAACCGACTTCTGAGACATCCTATCTTCTACGGTGGCTGCCTGCCTGCCTGCATCAATGCACGAGTGTCTCGTTGTCCATTATCGCATTTGTATGTCTATCTGTCGGCCGGTATTGCAGGGAATCGCCTGCTGACATTGTTCTTTTTTGCATGGTTTGCAGCCCTCACAAAGCGCTCATCATCATCACATGCACTGGTCCAGTGAGTGTGTCGTCGGCGTATAGGTATTTTGTGGGCTTCAAGTGGGCACTGGACGCCAGAACCTGCGGGGACTCGGCCAGTAAGCAGACACAAAATGAATGACCACTGGTTGATGGTGCGTTGAGATGGCTGGGTGGCCCACAGACATTTTGTATTCGTATTCCATGACGCTCATTCTGATCTTTATCAGCCTGCTCGGTAGGTCGGTCAGCCATGCACACACTGCACAACACAGTGCAAACCACAGGCATACACACGTCTGTATGTTCTCTGTGCTGCACTCACTGACTGCAGGCGTCAACCTGGTAGGAGCGAGCACCAGCAACGCGCACAATCAGCACATCCGCTCCTCTGTGTGTGTGTGTTTATGTCCATTGCCGTCCTCAGTTCATATGTGTGTGCAGCTGGAGCATGCTGCTCAAGAATGACGCAGACCAGATAAATTCTACCACATCCAACACAGTGAGCGAGTTGAGCTATCAGCATGTATGTCTCTCCCTTTTCTCTTCCTGTGGGTGTGCAGAGGGATGCTGAGCAGTCTGCTGCCGACGAGGAGGCCCGCGAGGCACGGAGGCGTGAGCGCAGCCGGCGGAACAGACGAAACAGTCTCAGAAGGAAAGCCGTCCTGGCACAGGTATGCCGCCAGCGACGCCACGCCCTCTTGCACGCTGCCGGATTCCGTCCGTTGTCCTCAGCTTGACGCGATGAGAACCATCGAATGGAACGACGGTGTGTGGGAAAGCTTGTCCGTATCCGTCAATGTATCCAATGCACACGGACGGCCTCCTGGGTCATGCAGGTTTGTGTTCGCCCATCTTGCTGAGTCCCCTGCCGTCGAGTCGCCCCTCCGCACAGTCGATAATGTCAGTGACGGTGCCGCGGAGCAGCCTGGTGCCGCAGTGGCTCAGAATCGGACACAGACACCAGCAGCAGCGGGCCAAACTCACACACCAAGGTCCGTAGGGGAGCACGGAAAGGAGGAGCAGGCAGGACGATGGATGGATGGTATGCGCCAATCATATGGTGTGTGTGTGTATGGATGGCTTGTATTCATTCATTCAGACGCATGTGTGGTAACTAATTAAGAAGTAAAGGGAAGGAAGAGAGACAGACACCGTCAATCGATCGATCACCCTTCCTTCCACATGTGTCTGTCGTTTGAACAGATATGTCTTGAGAGTTTTGAGGCGGGTGACCTCTGCAAGAGGCTGCCGTGCGGCCACCGTGAGTAATAAGAGCACACAAACCATTCACGCGCATCTCAGTTGCTGTCGGTCTCTTTTCTTTGTGCCGCAGTCTTCCACAAAGGTCAGTCAGTCAGTGTTTCCTCCTTTCTTTGTGTCTGGAGGGAGCCATCCATCTGGTTCCTCTCTTGGTCTGTCTGTCTGTCTGTCAGAGTGCATTCGGTCGTGGATTCAGAATCTGAAAGGCGAGAATCAAGACGTGCCAATGGTATACATACGTGAACCTGTCTGTGTCTCACTCACCAGCCATCCACACACGCACACGCACTTGTGTTGTGTTGTGTTGTGTTGTGTGTCTCCGTTCTTCCCCATCACCGGTGCGGCGCCGCCGCGACAATCGCCGAAGAAATTGCCGACAACAGTCAGCAGCCCATTGACAGCCCTGACGGCCAGCAGCAGCAAGGGGTGTCTTCTGATGACGAAGGAGATGACTTCATCCCGTCTCGGCGGCCGAGCGTCACGAGTGCACTTGCGGCCTTCGTGCAGGCCTTCTCGCCCCTCCCACACGCTCGGTCGGTGTCTGGCTCTGGGCCAGAGGGTGAGCAGAGGAGCGACCCTGACATTGCTGCTGCTGTTCTACCGTCCCTCGTGCCGCTGCCGAGGATGCACCTGCCCCACTATATTGCCTCACCGTCTGTGCCGTCTGTACTCAACGATGCTTCAGAACGTAAGGGAGCGGTTGTGTATGTCTCTTGTACGATTGCTCGTATGTGTGTGTGAGTGTCTCCAGGCCATCACGCTGCATCTTTCGTCTCACCTCAGGTCACCCAACAAGACATACACATCGAGGTCCATCCGCCCCATAATATGTCTTCTTTCTCTCTGCAGCCTGGCGACCGGCCCCTCTCTCGCTCCTCAGTGTGGCAGGCCCAATCGGTCGACGAAAATGACGACGCCAACCACAGTGACGGCCGCGAAGGAAGTGAGCCCAGCGGTGAGCAAGATGCACTCGTGGCGCAGCAGTGGGCCGCCTCGTCGCAGAGTGGCAACACCAGGCCCCACGGGAGACACTCGCTGCCTTGGGTGGTGGTGGGGAGGAGGTCGGGCATGGTGTCTTTGAGGCCGCAAGGCAGTGTGTAGATATATATATATGTGGGTGGGTTGGTGGGTGGGTGGGTGAGTGGAGGGTGCAATGCATGTGCTTCCTCCCTGCATGGGGTCAGGTCAGTGGGTATCTGTCTATCTACTTGTTGATCGATATCGATCCCATTGCAAAGTGGAGTCCATCCACGAATGCACGCCACGCATGTGTGAAAATGGTTGTCATGTCAACCAACCGCAGTCTGTCTTGTCTATCTGTCTGCCTATGCAAAGAAAGCCCCGCTGCCCTCCAGCTGTACACACACTAAGCCAGCTATGCTATCAACCAACCGGCCTCCTTCCTCATCTATTCTACATCCATCCATCCATCTCAGTCCATTGGTGCCCCTGGCCATCGTCGTGCATGTGGGCGTCCTGTCCCTCTCCGTCGGCATATCCCTCCCCCTCTCCCTCCGGCTGCTCTTGGTGGTCCATGTCGATGACTGAGTTGATGGTGTACTCCAGTAACGAAATCCGGCCATCCACACGACCATGGTGACTGCACACACACACAACAACACACGAGCTTATGTGCAGATGGTATGGGGCGAGTGGGAGGGTGTAAGGGTCGGTGTGTGGGGACTGACTTACGGGACGATGAGTTTGACGTGCATGATGCCGTGTACGTCAATGTACACAGTCGCGTCACGGCCTATCTCTGCACACACACAGCACAGAAAGGAACAGACACATGACAGCACGCTCCATGTGCGTCGGCCGGCCGGCTGGCTGGCTGCTTGGCTCGTGAACTCACTCAGCCCTTTGCCCAAGATCTGGAGGCTGCGGAGGCTGTACACCACACTGATCGAGTGATACCAACACACACACACACACATGCACACACACATGCACACAGATACAAACGTACGCCCGCAGATTGACCTCCCCCCATGCGTCCTGAGTGCGCACCGTCTGTGCTGTCTGACGTTGAACCTGCTGAATATTTTCTTGTCGTTGGGGTAGTCCACACAGGACGACGTGCTGTCGCCCTCCACACCCTGCACACATACACACACACACACACACACACAGACAGAGAGAGAGAGAGAGAGAACTCACACACAAAAGGGGGGCGTATGGTGGGTGACATCTGTCTGAGTCGCCCTTTGTCGGTTGCTGACCGACTCACCATCGACAGGACGTAATCCGCAGTGCCCGCAGGCCACACACGAACCACAACCTGACAGCACACACACACACAGGGAGGGTTCAGCCGCTGCTGCAGTGTGTATGCGGTCGGCTGCATATATTCATCCAGGTAGGTCTGTGTGCGTACGTTGGCGTTTTTGTTGTCGGTGTTGGAGGAGAAGACGTCCAGCGCCTGATACAACAGGCTTGGCTGAACCACACACACACACACACACACACTGGTATGGATGTGTGTGATAAGGCGGCACATATACATACATCAATGCATCCATCGTGGCTGTGTGCGGTCCCTCCCTCCCTCCCTCCCTGCGGTACCTACCAGCATGGAGAAGAGGTCCGCCCCTTGCGGCTCGAATGGGATCTCCGCCTCCTCCGTGCCGAACAGATAGTACGTGTTGAGCTTCGAATCACACGTGTCATCTGCCGTCCCGTCAACCCCCCAGACCCCACACACAAGTGCGTGTGTATGGTTGACGCCTGTATGCCTTGAGGAGTGAGTGTGGTCAGTCAGTCAGTAAGTACGCACCTCCATCGACGACCGACACGATGAATGGGTCTCTGTCTTCGTCGCCGGCCTCAGGGTTGTACCGCAGCGTCACGGCCTTGCCCTCATTAAACAGCTCCACGGACGTGATCAGCGCCGACAGCGTTATCACCAACTCCAGACGACGCTCGCCGCCCTCATCACCATCATCGGTGGCATCAGCACCACCTCCAACTCCCATAGCTTCATCGCCATCATCACCCTCGCCATTGTTGTTGCCGTTCTGCTGCTGCTCGTGACCGCGGAGCGCCTCATGGATGTCCCACGATCGGAAGAACTCGTCGGCTTTGAGTGAGAGGGTGCACTTGGCGTCCTTGGCGTCGGTGGTGAGGGTGAATCGGAGGCCCTGGGAGGGCACAATGGTGAGGTGGACTTTCTTGTCCTTTTTGAAACCCCTCCACTGCAGCGCCCTCAACACCTTCTGAAGGTGCTCCACGTCATCCACAACGCACTCCATCGACACGAAGATCTCCTCCGCGACCGAGTGGCCAGGAAATGTCGGCCGAGTCGCTTTGGCCTGATTTGAATGAAAAAAAGGGCGGGATGCGCTGAAAGATGGCGTCGGATGTTGGAGGACTCGGCAACTGCTGCTGTGGTTAAAAGAGTGACAATGGCTGATTGAATGATTGAGTCATTCATTAGTGAATGCATTCATAAAAAAAAAGGCCAGCTACCCCCATGATTGAGTTGGTGATTTCTCGGCTGTTTCTCCTCCTTTTCGGATGAGCGAGCGTGTATCGGACTACACCCAACCCCCTCCACCTACCCTCATCCCGCGAG